CCCTTCCAGCCGTTAAATGCAGAAGGCATGGAGATCCCGGGTCTCTTACTGCGGCTGATACTGAATTCCTTAAAGAAATTGGAGACTGGTCTTGCTCCCGAGCTGGAGCCATGGCTGGAACGAACTGATAAGGTCGAATACACAAACGATACGCGACCTGTCTTTCAGACATTACTTAGTGGCTTACTTATTGCTGTGGATGCTGCCCTCCTTGACTTAGTAAACATAAAACACGCACGGCTTATGGATAAAGGCAAAGGCAAATTAAGTGAAGAGCAGGTCGCCGACGCCGCCCTAGAGCTAGATTGCTACGCCACGAACGCCAGCCAATGGTTAAGGTTACTGTCAGCACTGCTGGACCAAGTGAGGCCTGTAATGCAAGCTCACCTGTTATACTTGAAAGATATCTTCGCGATCACCAAAGTTAAAGATGGAGAGAAGCAGAGGCGCGAGCGTAATGCTTCGCCATCAAGTTACTCAGCCGACGCACCTCTATCGGACCAACTTGGACAGCCGTCATCGGAACCCGGCCCATATCAGTCGTCGTCATCGGACGACGGTCTAATGGACTTGGAAAGTGGTCTCGAAAAGATAGTTGTCAGCAAGCAAGGAGCGTACACTGCAGACTTCGAGGAGATTGACTCAGCCGGAATTCAGCAGCACTGGGATCTAGCAGCATTAAAGTACATGGATCTATTATGCCTTTATCAAAAGGCCGTTAATAGTCTAGGCAAAGGCTCTTGCGCTAAACGCAACAAAAGAACACATGATTTCTTGAAAACTGCCAGGTTCGAGTACGTACGTTGCTTTCAAGACCAGGCAGATGGCAACATGATGTCGATGAGGAAGACTATAGAGACTCTTAAGTTGCCTGGGGGCAACGAGTATGGGCCAGATAACATCGCAAAAATCAAGGCTTTCATCCAGGAACACGAGCTGACGAAGGAAGGAAAGCCTTTGATATCAGATAAGAAATGGGAGGACGAGAAAAGTTTCGACGGCAATTTCCATTGTGAGACTCTGATGTTGTCCCTTCAGCTTCTTCACACGACACAAGCGGCCCGTGACGAAGTCGGCTCTGATAAGAACAGCGAAGGTCCGTACCTCCGATTACCATCCAAAGAGATCATCGATAGCTTTGCCAACCCCGCGAAAGTTCTTCCCGTATCAAAGCGCTGCTGTCCGGCGTGCCACGCGCTTATGAAGTACATTAATGAGAACGCGAACGAAAATATTCTGTATCCTGGACACCATGAGAACTGGTTCACGGCGGCATTACCTCCTTGGATTCCGCGAAAGGCCGGCATGGCTGTTATCAAGGCTGCTGAGAGTAAACTTGTGGAGAGGGTGAATAAATACCTGATATCTGGTTCAGCAGCTTCAGATTCTAGCACAGGCACATCACCCATTACGTCTTACTGCTTAGATCGCTTCGTCGGTATTAATCCTGGTGGCATTCTAGAAACTGCGGACTTGTTGAAGAACCGGGGAGAACAAACAAAGCGCAGGAAGTTGGAATAGGATTTAGATGCCGCTCGCAGCTCGAGTACGGGTGACGATCACATATGGTAGGTCGGAAACTGAAATCCCCAAATCCGAAATCCGAAAACCAAAAAACCTATCTATGCCCACTATAATATCATGATATATGCATGCTACAATATAGCGATATATCTATGCCCACTATAATATTGTAATATATGCCTACTATAACGGCGTAGGTAGGTAGGAGTATCTAAAGGGGATCTAAAATAACATAGAGGTATATAGGAGTACGCATCTATATAGAAAAGAATTAATTCTTATACCTATAGGCCTTATATAAAAGGATAAGAAGAACTTATCTATCTATTAATAAGTAGGCTAGCCACTAGGTAGGGGTTAGGTAGGGGTGGTAGGAGCTCTAGGTTAGGGTTAGGTAGGGGTAGAGAGGTACCTAATAGCTACCCTATTCTTATAGGATATCTATAATAACGCCTTTTCTATTAAACTATAGTCTACCTAGTATTAATTAATAGGATAGATTAGGTACTATATACGGTAGAAGTTAAGACTACTTACTATCTAAATTATAATCTAAGGCAACTAACTATAAAATTGGTATACCTTTACTAACTTTCTAAATATATTATAATAGCTATGAAACAATACAACTAAAGCTCTACTTAATCTACCTTACAATGTTTTTTAATTATACTAAGATACTAGTATTCTAAATTAACTATTATTTATATATTCCTTAGTTAAGTTAGAACAAGAGGAATATAGAAACAAGAATAATTTAACCTAGCACTTGTTCTAGTTTTGCTTATTAGACTAGGAAAGATATTATTAGCAAAAATATAGGACTAATACGGGTCTAACTCTAGTGTAAGGCCCCTCTACCTCTAGATATAAAAGGAGACTTATACTTATAGTTAGATAGACAAGTTCTTTTATCTTTTTATACACGACCTATAGATGTAGTAATCTTATCCCTTTTCTATATAGACGCGCACTCTTATATTCCTTTTAGATGCCCTACTTACCTATCTTATTATATTATAAGAAGAACTTTATCTCTACTAGTAATAGCTTTTGAAGAATAGTATGTTATTATTTAGTTTTTATAACTAATTCTATTTAGTTTATTCCTAAAATTTATATCTATTATAGACTAGCCTTAAGGGAGAATGTAATAAGTGTTAATAATAGTATTTAGTATCTTAAAGGAGAGGTAAGCTCTCTACACCTTTTTATAGGTGTGTAGCGTGTTTACTTAATAGTAGTATTAGTCTTTACCTATCTTTTATTAAACCTAGGCTTAGGTATAAGCGTAAGCCCTTTATATACCCCTAACCTTCCCTAGAGGCTATTATACAATTATCTTTTTAAGAGTTTTGGGCTATATTTTAATCCCTTCCTAGTCTATTTTAGGCTTTATTACTATATCTTTAAGCTTTATTATTATATCCTTTATATCTTTTGTAACTTATAATACGCCTCTATATTAAGTAGTATATATATATAGTATCTATATATTTATTTTAGTAACCTACTATAACTATTTTAATATATCTATTCTACCTTCCTATAAATCTTGTAATTTACTTTGTTATATAGTAGGATTTCCCTAGCTAATTAGTTTCCCTTTACCTTTTGTATTAATCTAGCCCTTATGACCTTTATTATATTTTTATCTACTACTATAATTAGTAGTAGTAGGAATCTACTATAAAGATGTTAGACCCTATACTAGGCCTAGTAAGATAAAGTATATACTACTAATATTCTTCTAAAGTTTTCTTTACTAACCTTTTTTTAATACGCTTCTTCCTAAACCTAGCTGCTTGGTAGTTTTATTATCTTTAGAAATTTAAATAATAAAACTTATAATAGTAGATCTTTAAAGCTACTTCGTTATAATTGGTATAGTAACTAGCTATATTTCTTTAGTAGGTACATGTATAAAAGAATAGTAGAATGTTCTTGTTAATTTTTAATATTCTTTAGAGTAGGTTTTAACTATATTTAGGGTGTTTATATAAGTTATATTATTATATTATAAAATCTATACTAGGTTAAAGGCTATCCTTACTAATAATCCTAATATTTACTAAGCGCTCTATAACTAGCTTAAGTTTTAGTATAGTTACTAGAAGCATTACCTCTATATTATAAAGAGAGAGACCCTTAGAACTTTTATAAGAAAACCTACTAAAGGTACTTACTACTAGTGAACTAACAGGGAGAGTAACCTATTTAAACGAGGAGAAGTAGGAGGGGCAAGGTTTAATAGTAGTGGTGCTATAGTAGAGGATATGGGTTTAATACGGGAACATAAGTAAAAAGATAATATTATATAGTTAAAGTAAAGTCTCTAGGAGTTATACTATTCTATCCTCTAATCCTTTATACCTTTATACTATTTAATCTGCCTAACTTTTTAGGCTAAGCCTTGTTTTTCTTCTATACATCCCTTAGTATAGCACAAACCTCCCCCTCCTTTAAGCTTAGCCCTATTAAGCTTAGCCCTTACTCTCCTCCTCTAGGTCTGCAACCCTAGTTCCTAGCTTGTTAAGCTTTAGGTAAGGGAGTAGGAGTATCTAGGGTCTCTAATCTTAAACCTAAACTTAACAAGATAGTTCTCCTCTACGCCCTTACTAGGCTTCCTATATAGCCTAGCCCTAAGCGCCTAGATCCCTCTGCCTTCTATTCCTCCTTAATAGCTCCTAGATACTTTTTAATAGTATCTAGAGTCTCTAATTACTTAATCTATCTATTATACCTCTACTACTCTCCTGCCTTAGTAGGCTATACTCCCTTTGTGCTAAAGTAGGATTAGTCTAGTACCCTAGCTTCCTTATCCTTACTAAATATAAGCTTCTTATTCTTAATATAGATAGCCTAATTCTTCTTTAACTCTTTTACTATCTTAACCTAACTCTTTCTAATCTATACTCCTATCTTTTCTCTATTTAAATCTCCTATTAGGTACTTCTAGATCTCTACCTTTACTAAAGGGTTATCCTATTA